TTTGGAGCACCCTTGGTCTACCTCCAGGGGAAATCAATCTAGGCGTACATTTTCATTTGTAAACTACAGATCAGCCCATTACATTTGTAAATGAATATCAATATGTACAAAGTCATAGTTGTGTGCTTCACTATGTGTGCATAGTAATTAACAACGGAGTAAAAACACCATACCAACCTATGAGGCTGCTATGGGGGCTGGAGTACCAAGCATCTCCGACAGGTAGGAGGACTGTTTTGCTTACAGTTCTCCCCCCTGTCAGCTCGGGCACACTGCTTTGGATGGCTGTGCACAGCACAGCCATCCAAAACAGTGTGCTTACAGTGAAGCAGACTGACACGGCCCCCTAGTAAAACACTCCCTGCACACAGTTAACCCTTCGATCACCCCTCATGTTAACCCCTTCCTGCCCAGTGCCATTAGTACAGTGTGAATGTTTTTCTTTTTAGCTCTGATCACTGTATTGGTATCATTGGGGATGTCAGTGACACCAAGTCAGTTCCCCCCAGTGTCAGAATGTCTGATCGCTGCAATTACTAGTAAAAAAAAAAAAAAAAAAAAAAGAAAATTCCAGTATCTATGCATATATTGGGATTTTTTCTTTAGCAAAGACGTAGCAGAATACATTTTGCCCTAAATTTATGACGAAATTTGATTTTTACATTTTTTCACTGGACATGTTTAATAGCAAAAAGTCAAAAATATTGTTTCTTTTTCAAAATTGTCGGTCTTTTTTTTTTATAGTGCAAAAAGTAAAAAACGCACAAGCGATCAAATACCACATAAAGTTCAATTTGTGAGGAAAAAAAGGACGTAAATTCCATTTGGGTGCAGCATTGCATGACTGTGCAATTGTCAGTTAAAGTAACGCAAAAAATGGCCTGGTCAGGAAGGGGGATACATCATCTGGAGGGCAAGTGGTTAAGATTGCTCCTACTGTTACTCCATAAGGACAAATATAAAAAGTATACAGAGAATTACTCACTCAAGCTAACAGTTTGAAAACTAAAATCAACCTTTATCTACATTATACTATATTCAAACATCATTGTTGTACTACACAAATAGCTATTATATATTTTTTGTTCACACTCACCAAGGGGTCTTCTCTTCATGCTATTTCTGCAATCTTCACCTTAGAAAGGCAGGAAAAGAATAGGGGAAAGGTTGTAGATATTGAGGATCAGTTATTTCAACACATCAAGGCTGCAAATGTACTAAAGGGATCAGCACTGTTCCCATGTGGCTCCTCTGCAGATACTGGCTTCTCCTACTCTCCTCATTGGGGGTCGGTTTAGACCCCTGGTGCTTCTTGAAAGCTCACTCCTGAAAAAAAAGTAAAAAATATTAAAAATAAAATTCAGTAACATCTTCATTTTATTTTACTGGTCTTGCGCTTTCAGAAAATGTATGATTTGGAGAAAGGGTCTTTTACAAATCTTGGAAACTGTCAGTGAAAAATGATAACCTTCAGATTTTTTATCTAAATTGCTTATTTACAGTTTTGCGTACCTTGGATTTTCACCATGTCGAAAAAGGGTGCAATTTAAAATGTTCAAATATTTGTTATTTATTAACAATACAGTTATCGCTTTTATGTTTGGTAGGAATTTAGCTGCACTTTTGTTTTGATAAACATTTGCACAAATATCATGGGACCTTAGAGAGTAATTCCACTTTTGCTGAAAAAACAACCCTCCCCTCTTGGTGATCTATGCATATTGCTAGGATTTTAATAAACTTTATTGCAAATTCCTATTCTGAAGAAATAGCTGTTTGTTTGTCTATGTCCATGGGTGGAGTGAATCTGTATAGGAATTACTGATTAATTATCAATCAGCTGCTGCACCTGCAGGGCACCAATGAGGGAAATTGCAAGGTCTGCATCCCTTTAGAAGTGATTTCCCATAGCAAGTATTTTACCAAAAATTTAATTTTTGTTGCAGAGGTCAATGCCAAAAATCTGACTTGTATCTTAGTGCAGACTTCTGGGAAAATCTGTGAGCCAATCACACAAGCAGGAAATTACCTTTTTAGGGTCATTACATTACAAATACAGCACTACAGATAGAAAAGGAAAGGTAATTTTTAACAACATTCAATTACAATATGACTTGAGTTGCAATTGTAAACACTATATTATTTTCTTTTTATTTTCCCATTTTTTTCCCCAAAGTGGAGTTGTCCTTTAAAAATTCTCTGCCTGCACTCCTCCTGGCAGGGGAGTTTTCTTTAGGCTTCATGCACACAGAGCATTTGATTTTCTCCTCTGAACACCTTTTACTCCTGGCAGGAAAAAAGCAGCTTAAAAGTATATTGCACATTGTGTTCAGCGTTAATGCATTCTGTCGGCCAGAATATGAATTTATTCTGGCTCTTAGAATGCATTATTGTGATACAACACCTAAATGCATAGTGTTTATGCTTGTATCACATTTTTTTGTGCCCAAAAGCTCCTCTCCTGAATGCTCTGGTGAGGTTTCTTTTTTCAGCCTGTAAACACTCCTCTTCTAATACGCCTCTAAAAGCCTATGTTTGCATGGACACCAGGCTAGCTGAAAAAAAAGTCAAATACTTCTAAAAGTTTTTTTTAAAGCCCTGTGTGCATGAAGCCTTAACTGGGTGAGAGAGGGTTCCTGCATTCCTGGATGGGGGTCCCTCTGATCACCCCCTGCACAAAGGTCTCCTTCTACTGGAAGAGGGTTCCTGTATCCCTAGACAGTGTTTTCTCATATTTGCCTATATTCCTGGATGAGAAGAAGGTGTCCTCTTTAATTATCCCCCTGCCTTACTCCTGGTTGGGGGTCTCCAGGGGGGAGGGTGTCACTCTGCACTCCAGTTGCAGATTCTAGGCTGGCCATACATTATACAATTTTCTTGAGAAGTTTGCTTTAGATTTACCAAAAACCATATAATATGAGGTCAAACCTAAACAACACTTTGATTTGTATCCAATTAGACAGGCCCTTGCACTATATAGTTGAAGGTAAATGTAAAAGAAATTGGGCAGAAATTGGACAGAAAATTGTATAGTGTATGGCCAGCCTTAGATTACTCTCTGCACTCCTGAATGGAGGCCCCTGATTATTTCTAGACCCTCATTAGTGGTTGAACCTTGTAGGGAGGTTTTGAAGTTTATTTATTTATTACAGGTACTTATATAGCGCCAATTTACGAAGAGATTCACATATGTATTGCACATTCACAGCAGTCCCTGCCTTCAAGCAGCTTACAATCTAAGGTCCTGGAGGAAATCCTTGTAGGCACAGAAAGAACATGCAAACTCCAGGCAAGTAGTGCCTAGATTGGGATTCAAACCGGTGACCCTAGTGCTGCTAAGTGCTAACCACTTAGCCACTGTGCTGCCTGCATTCCTGCAGTTACAGCATGTATTTCCACCAAGGAGAGGTCTGTTATCACTCTATTATGGGGCTCTCTGATTCTTCCATCTTGGTATCTCTGTCATGCACAAGGGTCATCTGCTATTCTTTATACATTAGTACAGGGCTATAAAAAGGAAGGGGGGTGCTAAGTATTGGAAGGAGGGGGCACTGGGAGCTTGTGGCAGCTTCATTTTCCAGCTGCCTCACTGAAAGGAATGACAGCAGTGTGGAAGGAGCAGGGGTCTCCACAGTTGTTGGAGGTAGATATAGTAATGAGGGGTTCAGTGAGCACTAACTAATACAGCAGCTGATACACTAAAAAGGAAAAACCATAAACCTTCAAATTGACAATATAACATAAATAGTGCAGCGCTAGATGATATATGACTGCACCAGTATTTGAGGTGGTGCAAAATCCCTTGAATTAATATCAAATAGTGTATGCCACATATATTGTATGTGACCTTCCCAAAAATTGAAAAAATGAAGTAATGACGTGTACTCCACACAGCTTCACTTCACAATAAAAACGCACAATATGAATGCACAGTAAAAAGATTGTCCAATAATAGTATAGTAATCAAAAAAAAAAAAACACAGATAGATGTATTTTGATAAGATCCCTGTGATGCATATAGTCCGGCGTTGTGCAGAAAAAATGAATAAATTGCGCACTCTCCGGAAGCACAATTAAATTGTGCGTTTATATCTCATACACCAAGGATCACTCCAGCTCACACTCTCCTATACCAGCTGGTCAGTGTGTATTTCATGACATCCTTTGTGCACAAGGATTGATTTTACTTTCATACTCATGTTAAGTGTTTCTTGCTCTAATATTCAATAAATCCGTTTTAAATTTGATTTAAATACTACACTATGGGTATTCCTTTTTGCTCTACATCGAGCATTTAATCCCTCAGGACCACCAGGTGACTACCCCAGGGCCCAGAGTAGCATTCAGCTGATCCTGTTTGGAGCCAGGTCTACCATAAGGGACCCCCAGATGTGTCACCCCCCATCACGGAATCACCTGCTCAGAGCTTCCTTCCATCTACAGCTGGAGTGATCCTTGGTGTATGAGATATAAACGCACAATTTAATTGTGCTTCCGGTGAGTGCGCAATTTATTCATTTTTTCTGCACAACGCCGGACTATATGCATCACAGGGATCTTATCAAAATACATCTATCTGTGTTTTTTTTTTTATTACTATACTATTATTGGACTATCTTTTTTACTGTGCATTCATATTGTGCGTTTTTATTGTGAAGTGAAGCAGTGTGGAGTACACGTCATTACTTCATTTTTTCACTTTTTGGGAAGGTCACATACAATATATGTGGCCTACACTATTTGATATTAATTCAAGGGATTTTGCACCACCTCAAATACTGGTGCAGTCATATATCATCTAGCGCTGCACTATTTATGTTGTTGGAGGTAGGATTTGGCATTTTTATCTAACACCAATGACAGGGCATGTCTTCCTTCACATCTGTTAGCCCATATTTTTCTGCAGGACAGAATGTGCACTGCTATTAACCAATTCCCATCCGGCCGTTGTATATAAAGCGCAGTGCATAAACGGCGCCCGCCATTTTGGATTGTGAAAGCTCTCTGGACACAGCGGAACACCAATCGCTGTACAGGACCTCTGTGTGAGGTCCCGATCATGTGATCACTGATTGGCCAATCAGTGATCACATGAATAGGTGTAAGCAAGATGTCACTTCTGACATCATTACTTACTACATGTGAAATCTGCGAATGATCACAGAGATCACATGGAACAAGGCTATTCACAACATCCTTGTACCATGTGACAAGCTGTGACCAATCACAGCTCACCCAGTATTTCTCAATGGCTGCAAGAATGCAGCCAGAGAGAAGGAGAAATGATTGCTTTTACAGCCTTTATGGGTGTAAAAGCAATTAGTGTAAAAAAAAAAATCTTCATCACCCCCCACAAGTAGTACAGTGTCACTGTGGTGACACTGTACTGCTAGGCTGACAGTATATAAAAAAAAAATAATAATATATTAAAAAAAGCAAAAATGTAAAAAAAATATTTTTTAATTATAATTTTTGGTTATAAACTAATTTGGGTTATTTTTTTTTACTAAAAAGATAACTGAATACATTTTGGGCAAGATTTATGAAGAAAGATTATTTATTAGCAAAATTATATAAGAAAAACACTTTTTTTTTTTTCAAAATTTTTGGACTTTTCATTCATTTATACAGCAAAAAAAAAAAAAAAAAAAATCCCAGTGGTGAATAAATACCACCAAAATAAAGTTTTATCTGTCTCAAAAAAATGCTAAAAAATTCATATGGGTACAGTGTTGCATGACCGTGCAATTGTCATTCAAAGTGTGATAGCACTGAAAGCTGAAAATTTGCCTAAACAGGAAGGGGGTAAAAGTGTCCAAACATGAAGTGGTTAAGCTCTTGAGTTTGCTCTGGTGTGCCACAAACATTGGCACTATTTCAGTGCATGCCACAACCACTGCATACATTTCAGTGCAACGCAATGCATGCACTGTTATTAGCTCTTCCACGACTCCTCCTGGGAGCCTCAGTTTGACATCTTTGCCCCGCGCACTTGACTAACCTTGTCCTGCCACTGGTAGTCTACCCTGAATCCTGTTGTCAGTAATTTAGAGGTAAGAGTCCCTGCATGTGATTCAGGAGAGGAACTCCAAAACACTCCTAATGCAAATCTCAGTGCTAAGATTGTGTATGTCTCATGATCACCAATCAGATTCATACTTTTGAGTGTTGTTTGTGATACAAGAAGCAGAGTAAGAGAATGTTACACAGCACGGGCATCAGAAAGTACACTGTCATTTGGTCTGTTTACTCTGGCTACATTGAAATTTACAGAACTCAGATAAGATAAATGAAGCCAACATTCTGATTTTTAGCACAGTTGCAACATGTGCTAAATAGCATTAGTAGTTCACTAATTGTTCCACTCGTGCTTGAAATTGTGCTCTATTGAAACCATGGATTTCATTAGCATTATTAAGTCATGGACAAACTAACTGAAAAAAGGACTAAAGTGGAAGCGACTGCATTTTCATTAAATCTGAATCTACATAAATTATATTTCAGAAAATAGTAGTTCACGTACAATCAATGTGTCGCTAATTACAATAAAGGTAGATATTATTTTCTCTAATTAAATTCACTTGTGGTGTTTAAAAGATATGATTGTATTTTAAATGATGGGCTACCAAGTAGATCAATACACATTGTGCATCCATTATAACGTACAAGAAAAATATACTGCTTTGAAGCACTTAATTACAGTAATTGCAGCTCAGAGAGTTGTGGGTGAGAATGGAACCTCCTTGCCAAGAACATCTATATTCCAACTTGTAATCAATGAAATGTGATAAATTCGTAAACTCATGCTGTTATATGAATAGTCTATTCATTTCAATATAGTCAGCTTAGAAAAGAAAAAACATTTAAGCTTTTCGGTACCAACTGGAGTGTGATATCAGACAAACAAAAAATACATTTTTATACAGTAGGTTTAAAAAATTGTCTTTTTTATAACAACCCTTTACTTTGCCCAGGCTAGGTGAAGCAACTGGTTTGCTTTAAAGTGACCCTGGCACTAGGGAACATGAACTTAAAGTTGAACTAAAGCTTCAAATACTCACCTCCTCATCAATGATCTGACATCTGCAAGGTCCCTTGTCAGTACCGGCATCTTTTTCCTCGTCGGTCTTAGGCCATTTTGATTTGCTGGTGCAGGATGATGTTACTCATGCGCAGACACCATGCGAAGAATATACCTTTCAGCTGAACATGTGCAGCTCCGTGTACATTGTAAAGATGACTGTGAACAAGCAGATATGTGTATTTTATTGCAGAAAAGGCATAGCTGTAACTAGCCTACCTGTTCACAGTTTTTTGTTTTGCTCTTTAAGTTTAGCTTTAAATAGAAGTAGTCAGTAAAAGAATATTACTTATACTTACCGTTCTCAAAAACTTCAGACTTTGACTCTTGTAGAACCTCAGTCACTAAAATTTGACACTTCAGGGTGTGTCAAATGCTTAATCTTCTGCTACGCCCTGTGGTTTCCTCTTGCCCCCTACCCCTTTAGCAGCACATTCTCATCTTAAATTTGCTCTAATGCCACTCTTTTAAGCTGCCATTATGCATGTGAACAGAAAGGGGATTAAACAAGATATAATTGTATATTTAAAATCTAATAAGACTGTCCACACAATTTTATATCATTTTACATTTGATCAATGATGTTTAGGGTTACCTTGACCTCTCATAATGAATAATGATACTGCCCTCTGGTTCTGTAAATGCCCAGAGGGATGAAATATAAAATAATTTATGACCTCAGAATTAATGCTTACTTGCAATTCTATCTTTGCTCCCCTGTGCTGGTAGGTCTAGGGCAGATATCACTTTTTATTAGAATTGTACTGCACATTAAGTACGATGGTAACTTTAAACTATTTTGTATCATACAGTCTTTGGGATTATCTCTGGAATAGGATGAAAAGAATGGGCTTTGATGATGAGTTTAAATGCTGGGTTAAACTGTTGAATTCTGGTCCCAAGGCTACAGTAGTTAAAACAAACCAGGATTTATCTGCACCATTTTCTTTCTACAGGGAACCTGGCATGGATGCCCCTTGTATCCACTACTGATTTCACTTGTTATTGAACCCTTGGTAAAATGTATAAGGCAATCTCTCAAAGACTAAGATTGCCAACTTCAATTTATTGGTTTCTCGGGCCTTTAAAATGTTTATTTACAGTCTTCTAATGGTATTATGGGTACCTTTTTTTTTTTTTTTTTTTGGCATAAAGCCCAATTAATCAGAACCAAACATTAAAGTTATAACAGAGGATAAGAAAATATCCAAACATTTTGCAATAATTTACAGTGGAGAAAATAATTATTTGTTCCCCTGCAAATTTTGTACGTTTGCCCACTTACAAAGAAATTAAGGGTGTATAATTTTTTATCATAGGTGTATTTTAGTAAAACACAATGTAGCGCTTTGTGTGTAACTTCAAGTTGCCAAGCAACAGCCAAGAAACCTTAAGGATTTAGAGAAGATCTATAAACAAGAGTGGATCAAAATCCCTCCTGAGATGTGTGCAAACCTGGTAACCAACTACAAGAAATATCTTACCTCTGTGCTTGCCAACAAGGGTTTCTCCACCAAGTACTAAGTCATGTTTTGCTTGGGGATCAAATGCTTATTTTACTCTCTGAACGGAAACTTAATTTATAACATTTGTATTATGTGTTTTTTCCTGATTTTTGGTTGATATTCTGTCTCTATCATTTAAATTACACCTATGAAAGAAATTATAGACCCTTTATTTCTTTGTAAGTGAGCAAACTTACAAAATTTGCTGGGGATCAAATAATTTTTTGCCCCACTATATGTCTCCATTCAGAAGCAAAATAGGCCTATAGGACTCACACTTAGAAATGTATTTGCCTAACTGTGGGAGAACAACTATAAGAGTCTCATTCAAAGAAGGTGACAAACAACTAGAATCATAGGCTGCTTGAAGTTATTAAGGAGAATAGGGGCAAACAACTAAGCATTGCAGACATACCATTTAAGGCTATCTAAGCCAGTGGTTTTCCTAGGTTGAAAGGATAAAATGGTAACATGTATTTCCTGAACCATAATGTGTGTATTTAAAGAAGCACTTTGAGCATAAGTGAGACACTAGAATCAGAGAAGGTCTGGAGCTCCACAGCGCGGTGGTAGTTCATTGAAAACTACACGCCTACAGCCGCTAAGGCTGTTGGGACTTGCAGTTCATTCATTCACGGAATGAATGATGTGGCTGTGTGGGCGGAGTGTGGACTTCTCCCTGTACTATCTGTCAGAGGGGGCGCTGGGCGGTGGCTGCGGCTATGGGAACATGTTACATTTTCCACCTTAAAAGCGAGTGAAACATATAACAGGTGAACTTGTCCTGTAATGAAACCTTTCATTATAGTAATAGGCCAGTAGTAAGGCACAAGGTGGGGGAGCATGCCAGAACCTGCGACCATGAAAGCCTATAATGTTTTGCATTAGAGAACTTCAAATTTTTTTTAGTAGTGTTGGAGGCTCTACAGGGGATGATGGGAGCTTTCAGACACTTGGAGGCATCTGTTTTTCAGATCAGGTGACACTTCAAAAACAATATTTTAATTTCTCAAAACTGCAAGATTTGTAATACACAGCTACACAGCGCTCTGAAAAAGGAGAGGTGAGATGGTGGATGATCTGTAATTGGTAGCTATCGCACTTTGCTTTGCTATATATATATATATATATCTATATATATTGCTCAAAAAAATTAAAGGAACACTTTGAAAACACATCAGATCTCACTGGGGAAAAGTATCATGCTGGATATCTATACTGATATGGACTGGGTAATGTGTTAGGAACATAAGGATGCCCCATTGTTTGATGGAAATGAAAATTATCAATCTACAGAAGACTAAATTCAAAGACACCCTGAAAATCAAAGTGAAAAAATTATGCAGTCAGAGATATTCACACCAGTGGGCTGCTTGAGGTCATTTTGCGGGGTTCTGGCAGTGCTCATCCTATTCCTCCTTGCACAAAGGAGTAGATAACAGTCCTGCTGATGGGTTATGGACCTTCTACAGCACTCTCCAGCTCTCCTAGAGTAACTGCCTGTGTCCTTGATTCCCCTCCATGCTCTTGAGGTTGTGCTGGGAGACACAGTAAACTTTCTGGCAATGGCATGTATTGATGTGCCATCCTGGAGGAGTTGGACTGCCTGTGCAACCTCTGTAGGGTTCAGGTATTGCCTCATACTATCA